CATCCTTCCAAGTTGGTTTTGGAGTTTATGTCGTAATGTGGAATTTATGAATCTCACAAGCAACCAAATTAGAGGTACATTTGCAAATTTGACATTGGAATTTTCATATTTCCCTGAACTACATCTGAGTTCAAACAAGTTGGAAGGTCCAATCCCCTCAATTCTATCAAAAGCCTCATATCTGGATCTCTCTAATAATAAACTTTCAGGGTCAATTTCATTCCTATGTTCAAGTGCAGCTATTTATTTAGGCTTTCTTGACCTCTCAAGCAACAATGTTTCTGGACAAGTTCCAGATTGCTTGACACATTTGGAGAATCTAGTCATGCTTGATTTGAGTTACAATTCTTTGTCCGGGAAAATTCCTACAACAATAGGCTCTGCATTTCGGATTGAAACACTCAAATTAAGAAGCAATAGATTTGTGGGACAATTGCCTTCTTCGTTGAAGAATTGCACAAGTTTAGTAGTTATTGATGTTGGGGATAATAAATTATCCGGACCAATACCTGAATGGTTCGGGGTTAGCTTAAAGAATTTGGTTATCCTGATGCTTTCGTCTAATCACTTCAATGGAAGTCTGCCCTCACAATTATGCCATCTAACACACATTCAAATTTTGGATTTCTCTATGAACAACATATCTAGAAACATACCCAAATGCCTCAACAATCTGACTACTCTGGCTCAGATAGGACATTCAAATCAGAAAATCACACATCCCTTAGGAAATTCAAATTCTACGTATCACTATGAGGATGATGCAACATTCATATGGAAAGGAAGAATGCAGACATACAAAAACACTTTGGGGCTTGTAAAGAGAATTGATTTGTCAAGCAATAGATTAACAGGGGAGATTCCAAGTGAAATAACTCATCTTGTTGGGTTGATTTCTTTAAACCTATCGAGAAACCAATTAAGAGGTCAAATAACTCCAAAGTTCGGAAACTTGCAGTTATTGGATTCTCTTGATTTGTCAAGAAACCATATAGACGGAAGAATTCCAACAAGCCTTGCTCGGATAGATCGTCTTAGTTTCTTGGACTTGTCATATAACAACTTGTCTGGAAAAATTCCAATTGGGACTCAGCTCCAAGGCCTTGATCCCTCTGTTTATGCTGGGAATCCTCAACTATGTGGGCCTCCACTTAAAAAGATGTGTGCCGATGAGGAGGAAAGAGGTCCAAGTAAGCAAACTGACTTCATCAACCAAGAGGACAAGGATGAGCTAATAACACTGGGATTCTACATTAGTGTGGGGATTGGATTTGCTGCTGGATTTTGGGGAGTTTGCGGCACCTTGATATTTTCAAGGTCGACTCATGAAGATATGCATACTTGAAGTTCTTGAATGGTTTAAATGATTAGCTTTTTTTTTATTATAGCTTTATTGAAGCGTCAATTGAAGGATGCTTTATCCAACATCTTCAGAGACATGTCTTCCTTTCAGTGAAGTGGCTCTGTAACGGTAGTCGTATTGTAGTAGCAGGAAATGGATTTTTATAGCCAAAGAGCATGAGAAATGCATGCCAACAATTAATAATAAAATTCACATATTCTCAGTCCGCACATATGATGGATTTTTTTATATTCTTTTTTTGGTTCAAACTCAAATCTCATCACATATTTCATGCGGTAGAATAAGGTGGAAAAAAAAAAATTGAAGTTCAACTTCTTTTTTATTTTCTTTGTTTTTTGTCAAAATAGACAAGTTGAATTTCTTCAAAGAGTTTACAATAAGTTATTTATGTTTATGTTGGATTTATATAACTGAAATTATTAATTAAATGAGGATAATATGATAATTCACATTTTTTTCATATTAAAAAATTTAAAATTAAATAAGATAATGGGTCCTATTTTTATGGAACACAATGATCCATATTTTTTTAATTCTAAAATAAAATAATAATAATAAAGCCAATTGGCACACGTGTGACGTGAGTGTGTGCCAAGGGACTTGTAATAATAAGTTATTAGTGTTATCCTCTCATTTATTTTTGAAAAATTAAAATAAAATCCATCATACAAGTAATTATATTCAAGGGCTAACGACATTTTAACCTATGAAGGTTTGGGGTTATTCACATTCCTTTCATCATTCCTTTTCATCCTTCCTTTTACATACAATCAAATTTCTTACATTCTTTTCATCCTTCCTTTCACATGCCAACACGTGGATGTCACAAATGCTATTCGAAAATATTAAGGTCCAAGTAGTACTTTAATTGAAGTAACCAACATATATAAAGATCTATGATTTATGGAGACAGTAAAACTATAATCCAACATCAATCTCATTGATTGGACCGTGGGCCTGTCCTTAAATTTGGGCTCTGGAGTTTTGGCCCAAATTCAAATCTGGGCTATTAATACAGACCCAAACAAATGGATTTGGAGTTGGGAGCCTAAATTCAAATCTAGACATTCAAACCAAATGAAAAGGCATGTACTCCATGCTTTGCTAGCTGGCACGCATAATTCGTGAGCCGATTCCGAGATAAATACATTGTTGCTTATTAGCCTCTTGCATTTATACTTCAATATATTCTTCAAATTTTAAATATTATTATTATAAGGAACTTATTATTTTTATTATTTATTTTAATAAAATAATATGTTGTTCACTTTAGAATGCACCCTAAACACATACCTCAAACTCCATACTTGAATTTAGCTAGTTCTTGAACTTCGTACGCATGACTAGATTGAATTGAATATACTAAATTCAAAGATTGGCTTGAATTGGATTGATTTGGATTTAGCATGTCCTATGTTTAGTGGAGTGTTGGATTTAGCACTATCCTATGTTTGGTGCAATCCACAACAGACGATATTTCTAAACTATAAAACAATTATTTTAAACATTAAATCTTTTTTTCTTTTTCTTTTTTCTGTTTTTGAATATGGATTTATAAAAAATAAATAACAATCTTATAATTACAAAAATTATAAGCTAAAAAATAATTCAAAAACTAATTTAACTATTATCAAAGTCTTCAACCAATATAAATTTAAAAGTCATCAAGTACCAATAACAAATAACTGGATGCAAGGAGATCTCTGCCTTCACTTTAATCCTTCGAAAGATGCACCCTTATCTTCATTTTCTTCTTTTTTTTATCCCTTTTTTTTTTGGGCGATGGGTAACTTTCAATCAATCGAAATTAATACAACCAAGCTCATCAAAAAAAAAAAAAAAAAAACCAACAAAAGTTACGAAGTAGAGGTGAACCATCTTGTTACCTCTAATATTAGTGTCAAAAAAAGTAGAGCAAATATTCAGTTATGCTAAGATACGCTCATATTTTTATTTTTCTCCAATATGGAGGTATTTATACAAGTACAAAGATGTGTTAACCCTAAATAAAATAGAAAATATATCTAAATTACAATAGGAAGTAAATATAAATTGCAATAGGAAATAAATCTCAATTATAATAGGACTAGATAAATGGGTAATTAACCAAAGTCCTAACATAGTAAAGAACTCAAATCCTAACTAAGTAAGGACTCGTCAACACTCCCCCTCAAGTTGGGGCAAAGATATTTCACATGTCCAACTTGACAAGCGAGTTATAGAACACCATACTCGACACTGACCAATCGAACAACTGTAGAGATATGACAAGCGAGTCATAGACACCATACTCGACATTGACCAATCGAACAACTGTAGAGAAGGCCTTGTCATAAACCACAAGTGAAACAACTAACAAACCCTAACAAATATGGCACATAGAAGAACACATAAACCCCGTAAGCACGACAGCATATAAGGCATAACACAGAAACCCTATGAGCACGGCAATAGGTAAGGCAGAACACAGAAGCCCTGTGAGCGCGGCAATCGATAAAGGCAAAACACAGAAGCCATGTGAGCACGGCAGTAGATAGGTAGAAACCAAACCCTAAAAAATTCGGTAGGGCAAGGTCAACGGTCATGATCGCAGCGGAAAAACACACCAGCAAAGGCACGAACATGGTAGAAGCAACGACAACAATGTCCCCAGCAAGAGACAACAAAACTGACAGCAGTAAGAGCAACACAAGGCATTGGCACTAGCAAGAGCAATATAAGGCAAAGACATAACATGCGTCATCAACAGTAATCAACACTGTTCCCAGCAAGAGTCATAATAAGCAGGAGCAATAACATTGTCCCCAGTAAGGGACCCAACAGATATGAGCAACGGTACTGGCACCAGCAAAGGACATAGTAGTTAGCAGCAATAACAATGACAAATACTTCCATTATTGCAGAGACAACTTCTTTTCACTCCCCCTGGGCAAACAATTGTGGTAGCAACAACAACAGAGACAACTTCCCCTCAAATGAGCAGCAGTGTCACTCCCCCTTAAATGAGAGGACCAGAGCGGCTGTGTAAAGGGAACAGCTGCAGTGTAGCTCGGCAGGACAGAGATAGACAAAGGTCAGCTAGGAGAAGGCTCTGCGATCGGTGACGAGGCTCGCAGAGGTTTGAGATGGCTCGGTGAGCAGTGACGAGGCTCACAGAGGAAAGAGATCAGGCAATCAATGGCCAAGGGGCGTGTTGCCCATGTGGTATACATTTAAAAGAAAGGCTCAGCTATGAGCGCAAGAGACTGAAACTAACATGGGCTCAATTTGATTTTAACATAAAGCAAGCTCATAGAGAGATGAAGAGTATGAGAAAAAAGGCAGCAACAAGCATAGGTGGAGAAAAAGAAAGGTAATGACTCAACATAAACACGGTAAGGACAGAGACAAGGGTAAAATTGCAGAAAGGTGCGGCTATGGCTATGGCAAAAGAAATATATGTTGATTATGAAGGAAAGGAGAAACGGGGATTTACAGCAAGGTGAAGACCCATGATGGGTTAGGAATGAGGAACGCCAACGACTCTCAATTTGTCAGAGGATCTCAAGGATTAGCAACGACTCTCAAGGAGACCACAAACACAGGTCACAAGAAAACCTATGCTCTTATACCATGTCAAACAAAGTAAGGCAAATATTCAGTTATGCTAAGATACGCTCATATTTTTATTCTTCTCCAATATAGAGGTATTTATACAAGTACAAAGATGTGTTAAACCTAAATAAAATAGGCAATATATTTAAATTACAATAGGAAGTAAATATAAATTACAATAGGAAATAAATCTCAATTATAATAGGACTAGATAAATGGGTAATTAACCAAAGTCCTAACATAGTAAGGAACCCAAATCCTAACTAGGTAAGGACTCGCCAACAATTAGTGCATAGCAGCAAACAAGATGCAATCTTTCTTTTATAAAGGGGTTAATATCTGATGAACGAGTTCTGCGAAAAAAAAATACATATATATATATATATATATTTGAGCTTTAGTTTAGGGATATCTTTGTAGGACTCACTCCTTATTGTATTTCACTAATCCAAACTGTCTATTTGTAGATATTCATTCAAATATCATCTTTATAAAAATAAAAATAAAAATCACTTGAATCCGATATCATTTGACCACTCAATTAAATTATTGAATTTTAATACTTTCTTGAAGTATCGTGTTCTTTGATTTTGTATAACAAAATTGGACATCGAAACGGTTTCCAAGTTGTCTAATTTTTTGCAAAGATGATCTATGAATGTAGATTTTAAAAAAAGATTGTTTGGATCGTTGAAAATTTGTAGGAGACCCTAAACAGTGTTTTTATTTGAGGAATCCCTCAATAAAATGGGACTATATATATATAATGATTTTTGAGTTGATAGCACACCAGTACTTTGAGATCATCCAATGAATTTATCCAATATAAATGTTGGATAGAGGGATTCTTTGCACTCAACTCAAATATTTAGATTGATTCAGATGTCTTGAATAACACAAGTAAATACATAGTCTGCCTTAATCATTTGCAGTCATGTAATTCTTAAAAAACAACAAACTATTTTTCTTTATATACCCGATGATGATAAAGAAAGGGGAATGCAATCTTCAATCTTGTAAGTACCTAATAAGTTCATTAAAAATAATAATAATAAGTGTAAGCATGCAGTCCTCGAATCAGACGGTGCCAATTCTCGAACCTAAGACTTTAGTTTTATCACAAAACCAACAAATCTGAACCAACCTTTAATTTTCTTTCTTATCAATGAACATGAGATATTGAAGTTTGAGATTTTTTTATTTTTATTTTTTGATAATATTGTTTAACGTTGAGACTCACCATATAACATAATATACTAATTTGAACGGTATATTTTACAAAGTATATAAATAAAAGAGAGAATTGACGAAAAATCATATTTGACCAGAAACAGAAAATCTTGTGATGGAAGGAGATACTAAAAATATTACAAGATATGCATGCAAAAAAAAGAAGAAAAGGTTTTGTTTTGTTCAAAAAAAAAACAAGAAATAAAATAGAGGATGGAGCATTGTATCATGACATGTGTCCCTGGAGGTAAGTGAATCAGCTCTCGTTGCGTCTTTTGGTTGTATGAATGAACTTTTTTTTATTTTTTTTTTGGGTTTTTGTTTGTTTGTACTTCAATTATTAGTTGCTGCATCTGTGCCTCTGTTTTTGGGATTTCTCTGTTTCTCATCGTGTAGCTTTTTTAAGGTTGTTTATTAGATATGGGATCCGGGGTCGTTCATTGTTCACGATCGAGGAGGAGGAGGAGAGAAGGGGTCTGGACTCCGCTGAGACGACGACGCATTCGTCGTGCGCGGAGAAAGAGGAATATCACAAATTTTATACCGTTGATTGTTGTCCTGTAGTTTAGGAACCAGAAAGAACATACGTTTAGGTACGCAGACTTTGATCTAATCTCAAGCTTAAAGCTTTCATTTTTTTTGTTATGTTCTTTCTGATTTTGAGGAATTGGCTGCTGGGTTTTGTTTCTTGATTTGTTTGGTCAAATTTTGATTTGGGTTATTTGGTATTTCTTGTTTTGGGTCATCTTGTTTGATTTGATGATGATATTGATTGCTCATGAGTTTATCTGGTTTCTGTTTGGTTTCTCGGAAAGTGATGAAATGATTGCTGATATAGTTTACTAATTGTTGAAATTATGTGCATATGTGTTGGAGCTGGAGTTCAGCTTAAGTTGGTGTGGACCGTACGTATGTTCATGCCTGGTAGATTGCAGAATATACAACTACTAATTTCAGATTGCCAAGCAAAACGGCTAAATGTTGTATATGATTAATGTGGTGTTTCACTTGCCTTTGCATGTAAATTGTTTGCTTCTTAAGATGATACGGATTTGACCATAGAAAGTTACAGTAGTCAGATGTAAATTGAAAAATTTGAGTGTGTGTGTGTGTCTGGAGTTCATCGGAAATGGTTTTGCCCAATATTGCATATTCATGAAGGGTAGACTAGATTGCAAAAGATAAACTTCTAATTTCAGATTGCCAAGCAGAAAAGCTAAGTATTGTAATTTGTATATGATTAATATCGTTTTTTGCTTTCTTTATAATGGATATCATTTGCTTCTTTGTGATTAACAAAGTTCGACAATACAAAACTACAGTTGTTAGATGTGAATTGAAAAGTTTGTGCAAACACAGTGAAAGTTTTTGCCCTTAAATTTTTGAGATGGTGTGGATGAAGACTTCCTTTCGTAGAGATATGTTGACCAGATGAGATTCAGGGTTAATACAAGTTGAAATATAAGTATATCAACCAATAGTTGGTTTCTTACTTAGTTAATATGTCATCACCAAGAATCAATAGTTGGTTGTTTCTTGACTGATGACTTTATGCTATATTTCTGGAAAGTTCTTTTGTTCATATTTACAGGTTCTTTATGTATCATTTTCCTGTGTTTATTTTCATGCTATCTGTTGCTTCCCAGACTTATAAGTTACTTATGCTTACTTCATTAGGTTCAGGGATAAGAGATGAGTACACTGGATGCAACTAGAGCAGAACTTGCTCTTGCAGTTCTGTATCTGAACAAGGCTGAGGCCAGGGACAAGATTTGCAGGGCAATACAATATGGCTCAAAATTCTTGAGTAATGGAGAACCTGGAACAGCCCAAAATGTTGACAAATCAACTAGTTTGGCACGAAAAGTTTTTCGCCTTTTCAAGGTTAGGACCTGTGTGATATAATTATGTAGAATATGTGGTAAAAACATGCTTTACGACTATTGTGGTCCTTTAAAAATTTTCTTGTGGAAGAACTTAAGGGAAGAAGGATAGTGCTTACCAAATGGTCTCCTTGAAGCGTTTTCTGATCCTCTCTTGCACTTATTAAAAGGAAGCAAATGGACAAACGAAATATGACACTGATCTTGATTGTCAAGCCTTTATATTTTTGAGCATTTTATGAATTGTCCGCTTGGTTTCAGTTTGTCAACGATCTGCATGGTCTTATTAGTCCAACTCCTCCAGGAACTCCTCTCCCGCTTGTTCTGCTCGGAAAGGTATTATAATAATCTAATTCTTTGTCTTCTTATTCTAAAATCTAGATTCTTCTGCTTTGTCTTATTGATGACATTGAATCCGATGCTTTACAGTCCAAGAATGCATTGCTGTCAACTTTTCTATTTCTTGATCAAATTGTCTGGCTTGGTAGAACAGGTATCTATAAGGTATGTATTATCACATACTTTTCCAGTTCAGTTGTTCTTTACTGGGTTCTGTGACACTTATTGGAATAAATGCTTAGAAACTAATGTTTTTTTTAATAGAACAAAGAGCGTGCTGATCTAATTGGCCGGATCTCTCTTTTCTGTTGGATGGGTTCCTCAGTTTGCGCTACTTTGGTTGAGGTTTGTTGCTTCCCAACTTGTGCCTCTCATTTACTAGCATGTACTGTTGTTTTGAGATGTGCATGGCATGAACAATGTGTTCCTATTGGTTCCTAAATCAGATTGGGGAGATAGGAAGGCTTTCTGGACAACTTAAAAAGTTGGAGAAGGATCTGAAGAATAGTGATAAGTATCAAGTATGTTGACCCGTCACCTTGTACAATGCATTGACCTTAAAATAATTGTGTTGGTGTAGATTACTGTATTCTTTTAACATTTTTCATGTGGTTTTTCTGACTGCAGAACGAACAATATCGTGCTAAACTCAAAAAATCAAATGAGAGGTCACTAGCCCTGGTTAAAGCAGCCATGGATACAGTGGTAGCAGCTGGGTTGCTTCAGTTGGCACCTAAGAAAATTACTCCTCGTGTCACTGGAGCCTTGGGGTTTACTACCTCTCTGATATCCTGTTATCAGGTTTTTATGCTACCAAATTCTATTAGTGTGTGTCTTTGTGAATGCTTAATAAATCTGATGCCACCTTTCTGGCAATCTATGATTGGCCTCGGTCTTCTTACGGTTTCAGATTGTTTAAACTGATAGTCTACATTTGTTTGTGTGATGCAGTTGCTTCCGGCTCCAGCGAAGTCCAAGACAGCCTAAAGAACGAAGTCTGTTTCCTCAATGTGCTTCAGTCTCCTTTTAATAATTGTTTAGAATTGCAATATGAATCTTTGTTAGTGCAAACGTTTGAGCAATTTGCAAACTAGGAGGTTGAACTTAAAATTTGACCTTTTTATTGTCACTATAATTTCCGGTTCAATAGAAATAATATATGATGATGCTCTCTTTCCCATGGATGGCAAAATGATCATTTGACGACTGTATATTGAATGTCTGGGAGGCTTTGCATGCAGATGTGAATTCTATCCCGACCCTTTTTTAATCTTTTGAAGACGAAAACTAAAATTACAAGGAGGGTCCTCTAAAGATCTCTAAGACGGTAAATCAAAATTAATATTACAAGCCACGGTAAAAGTAAAATTAGGAAGCCAAAATATTTTGACAGTGATTGATTTCGAAATTGAAGCTAATTTTACCATGTTTCTGAATGCAAGAGAGAAACTTGCGTGCTCATCATTTCCTTGTTTCTGAATTTGTTTAACGTTTGGGAAACTATCACCATCAACATGATAAATAGTTCAGATTCAGATTCACCAAGTTATTTAAATCCTAATTCTTTCTGTTTCTCCACCGCTATCTCCTTTATTTATTTTTAATTAACAATACAACAGAAAAGGAAAACGCCATGAAACAGATCTTAAATATTCACACCCCATAGCCATACCATACTACAACAGGAAATAATAATTACTTTGTATTGCATAGGATTAGTGTTTTTCAGCACATTAAAGAAATAGCTACAATAACAGTTTACGACGCTATCACATTATCACTCTCACTTTGAGTGGCTATATAGCACTCAAAAAACTAGGCCCCGGATGTCCAATTCAAAGCGGGAGGATGAAACCAGAAAAAGAAAAATACCATAACTTGATACATAAGACAATTACCGCAACTTGATACATAAGACAATTACCGCAACTTGATACATACATACAGTTAAACCACGAACTCTTCATCCATTCCCTCTTCCGCGAACTCTTCATCCATTCCCTCTTCCGCGTCATTCCATTCAAATTCATCAAAATCCACTCCATTTCCTTGCAACATATTTACAAATGGCAGCATGTCTCTGATATCCCTCTCCAAGTCCAAATCCACGTTTACATCGGAGTCATTCTCAGGTAAGCTCGGTTGGATGTTGCCCTTGGCTTGCATGTTGTTCTTCAACACAAACTGCCCAGACGGTTCATGAATTTCAACACCAAATGCAGGTGATAACGACTTTCCCTTAGCTTTAACATGAGACACGCTGTAGTATGCAAAAACAATGAACACAAAATTAGAAAACATGCAAAAAATACCCTGCCACATACCTGAAACACTGGTCATAACAAAAAAAATTGCAATTTAAGAAACAAACACAACTGAAATTCAGTTTAGCTACCCAGTGTCCCGTCATTCTCATAAACAGTTGAGCTACATTCAGATGAGAAAAAGAGGTTTTTTCCACTATCACATGAGACCTTCTCTATAATCCAAACATGTGAAAGAACAAAGTAGCAAAATTTCCCCATGTGGGGCATCAAATGGCAGGAAACAACCAAGTACTAAAGTGGGTTATTGAATCAGCTAGTTAAAATGCAAAACTGACACTTCCTGCTCATCTATTCCATTGAGAAATATTCTGCACTCCTCATGGGGTGTAATATTTCTGTCTGCTCATCTATTACATCGTCATGTTTCCATCCAGAAACCCATGTGTCAGCAATAACATTTACCTGCTCTAGAACCTAGAACCTAAAAGATGCCCTTTTCTTTTCCTTTGCATTATGGAATGTTTGTCCATTTTCATTACATCAACATACAGGAACATAAGAAAGAGGGTTGTTCAAGCCTATATCTTATGATACTGTCAGCTGGTATGATTTTTCTCTCTTATTTAACAGAAATATCAAAGACCATAACATGATGATAGGCAGGACATAGTACACTTCTATTTCTTAAACGCCAAAGAGAAGATCACAGACCAACGGAATATATTAGGAGAAATTCATAAATAAAGAAAATGTGTTTCTTCATATAACATACACATACACAATGAATCGTGAGAATTAATTTTGAGGGCTTAAGGTGTCGGCCATAATAATCTTTAAAGACTAAGTATTGAAATGAGTAAAGAAGAAGAGTGGAGCTATTATCACCCAACAGCCCACTGTTCCCGTCCTGCAATTTTTTCTTCTTTTTTATGAGCACGAGTTTTTTTTTTTTTTTTTCGGAAAAAGATTATGAGCACGAGTTTTCATTCTGTTAAAACATATTACTCAACCAACTCACCAGTACTTCCACAATATTCCTAAATGCGAACCCTACCCTTTTTATATCGGTTGGAACCACATCACCCCTTGAATGTAATAACATTGTTCTACCATAATCAAATATAATATCATGAGAATCAGTACCGGAAGGGGGTCAACGTGACTCCTGATCGTCATGTAAAAGAAGTATTAAACCAACCATATAAAAAGAGCCAGGCTACCAGTTGCTAAAAAAACCTTACTACTTAACCCACTCACTCATATTGCCAGGTGTGAATCGTATAACCCCGGCTGGGGTGATACCCACCAGCATAATATTGTAATTAAAATAATGGCATAATTTTAGAATTATTGTGCTCAGTTTTTTTTTAAAAGTTTGTCCTTTCAACTAACTTCGGCAAGGAATAAAATTGTATTAAAAAAATTCTCAAAAGGAGGTGGGATGAGAATTTTAAGAATTATAATTGCACTCAAGAAAAATGAGTACATGGCTTCACCAAAAAGAAAAAAAGAGTGGAACTAACCATATATAAAACAAGCCATCCATTTCTTGTCTTTGAACTCTACCCAGAAGCTCAATCTGCAAAAATCCACCTATGCAAAGAACTGGTTCCGGAAGCTTGAATGTCTGCAAGATATTTTCCTGTTTGTAAGGAAGTCATTGGTTAGCTAATGTAAGTTAATTGGAAGATCAGAAAGGTGCTTTAACATTCAAAAAAATGCTAAATAAATTTGTCAAGGGATGTAGATTTAAAATCGATGTAAAAAAGGGTAAATTGAGTCTATAGTCAATCATAAACTTGTGATCCTAACATTCCAAGGCTGCATCAAACATGTATCAAAATCTAAAACTGCAAACCCAAGGTTTCCGGTTTCAAAACTGTAATGAACGTCTACAAGATCCATAATCTGAAAACTTGTCTAGTGTGCATTTCACCCATTTTATCATATTTGAAGATTCCTTCTCAATGGAAACAGGAGGTTGCTTTGTCCAAAAAGGATATTATGTATAAACGGAACCATTTCACAACAAATAAGATACAAATGCAGAAAGGCGGGGGAGAATTATAGAACAGGTAGTACACACCTGAGTCATTGGGAACACTTGTGAAGTGTAGGTCCATATAAACTTGTCGTCAGGAAATGATTCACCCATTTGATCACTCTCTACATCCATGGGGGACTTGGCATGCCCAAATCGGAAACGCACAGCCTTGGCTGAATATATGGGTCCACCGAGCTGGAAATAAGCTGTTAACAGGAAGAAAGAGAGAGAGAGAGAGAGAGAGAGAGGAGTCAGAGGTAAGTTTAAAATGTGAAAACAAATTGGAAATGTCCATAATTTCGGAAATTCAAACACTTGCCTTTGAAAGGCTGTATGTTGATTTCATTAATTACAACAAAATCAGACACCAGCTTGTATATCAGCACCTCAGGCACTGCAGGGTCACTTTGACCTTTACTCGACCAGTACGAAGCTCTCCGTTCCACCACATCTCTTGGCTCTAGAGTATTGCGAATGCTTTCTTCTGGAAAATTGTCAGTGCTGGACGCGCTTAATGCCCTCTTAATGGAATCCCCAACATTGAAAGATGTAAAACCAACAGCTAAAAATGCATAGACTCTATGCTCCCTTTCCAAGGTTTCCAATTCCTTTGAATTGCTAGATCCAACTTCTGCTTTTGTGTCAGGGTTGTTGATTTCAATCACTTGAGCAACTCTGGATAACTGAGGGAACAATCTCAAGCACAGCTTCTTACAAAGACCATTTTCTATCACTGCAAAACATAAAAAGTTCCAAACTCTTCAGTCTCATTTGGTAAGACAAGATGTCTTTGGACTAAAGGGATATAAATTTTCTTTAAAAAATAAAAAAATAAAAAAATAAAAAAACCAACACGGGTTTCCATCATTCAAAATATCAACCCAAAACAGGAGTGAACCTTAATTATCATCTCTTCAGAAATCTGCAAACTAAGAAATTGATGCAATCACAAAGACAACAAGAAGAAAAGATATAAATTGGAGAATCAAGCCAGTAATAGAATATTCAAGGGAGAATAGAGACAGCACATACTACTTACCACCTATAAACAACAAAAATGGAACCACTTATTTTTCAAAAAACATAAAACATTCTATCTTTCCTACATTGATTTAAGTATTGAGCAACATGCATTGTGTATATCAGACACAATCAAAAGTGGAGTTATGCCTAAGGAAACTTAAGAAAGCAATTGAACTAAAATATGTCAAACTGCTTCAGCTCACCAAAATGACGCCAAGATCGGGAAACAGAACTAATGCGAACAAGATCAGTTGGATCGTCCAAACAAGTTAGGACCTGTATTGACATGTCAGGTTCAAGCCAGTTCAAGAAATCCATACAGGGACCCATATCAAGAGACTTCAACAAAACTCGGGTGCCTCTTCGAGCCTCAAAGCCTGATTTCACATTGTAAGAGACCCCTCAATACAGTTTAAAATGAAAATTGGAGACAAAAATAAGTATTTAAAAAATATTATATGCAATGCAAATTCCCTCCATGTATAGTGCTGTCAAACTTGACACGAATTACAATTCCTCCCAAAACCACTGAACCCCATCATAAGAACACTGTAAAAGCCAAAATTATAAGAGCTAAAAGCATCCGAATTCCTCACAAGCACAATTAAGAAAAAAAAAGAAATACCCACTCCAAAAACAATCAAATTGATCGCATTCCTGTCATGCATGACATCAAGTACATTACTTTTGTGTCGAAGACGACGGCGATGATAACGATATTGGTGGGTATAGGGACAACCACAAATTTTTCACATTATCTATGGTTTAGAAAACATTAAATCATAAAACAAAAATTAAAAACTGTAAACTTATATGTTCGTAAACAAAAATGCAGCAAATCGAGGAAATTGAAGCGAACCGTCAGTGGGAAAAAGAG